AATGCTAATTTAAAGTGAATTCACATTGTCGAACTAAATTTCAAGCCAAACTCAAGACGAGCTTCGAGCCGAATTTCTTCACAAGATTCGATTCGATAATTAACGTAAACGCACATTCGAAGCTCACGATCGAGATTCGGCTCGAGTGTTTAGCTCAATAATGTGCCTCCACCTTTACGACGCGCGCCGTCGATTGTGCGACAATAGCGGCGAAGAATGGCAGGAGCGTGGACTTTGTACAGGGTCAAGATGAAGGTCACGCGACAAAAGGAAGCGATATCCTTGTTGGGCTCATTATGGTATGTAGATTGACTTTTTCGTTGGCATCGATAACCCTGCCGTCGTAGAGCCCGCGCATATCTCACCGATCGTTTCGATGGACGGAATGGACGACGCCGGCGGAAAAGATGTCAACGTGGAGACAAAGGAGGAGGAAGAAGAAGAATGAGAAGGCGCGCGCGCGCGCACGCTCGCGCACGCTCGCGTGCATGCAACGATTATCATTCGAATGCGCGGCGCGACTCTGCTCTTTGGCGCCCCGAAACGCGCCTCGAAATCGGGTAATTTGAATATTTCGCCAATTAAGCCGCGGACGCTGTTTTACATAGGTGAGACCGGGGTTATTAACCGCATGCGATCGACCCGCTTTATTTCGACAGCGAATCATCCACCGCTGATCTGCATTCGTAACAGTGCTACCTGAATTGTTGCTCGGTCAACATTTGAGCAACATAATATCGACCCTTATAGAAACTTAATACTGGAAGGTAATGATTAATTACTTATTTCGAAAGTATTATTTTGAGTTCGGCACTGAACAGCAGTGGTTTTAATATTCAAACCGAGTAATTTGCAGTATTAAATTTGTAAGGGACGAATATAAGAATTTATCGCGCGACGATATATAATACGCGATAACGCCAGGAGAAATCGCTTCGGAATTCACGAGATAGAAACACAGCAATTGGACGATATGACTTAAATGAGAAGTTACTTAATCAGCGGAATTAGTAGTTCCCGCTAACATTTTGACCAACTTTTACCTCATCATAAACTTGTATACGAGCTCAGGAAGGGGAGGGGGGCGGGGAGGGTAGCGACGGGCAAACGGGATGGCGTACCCTCCCCCAGGTTACGCCAGTGTTTTCATCTGCGTGAAATTCCCGGCATAGCTCGCGATACGAAGAAGATTCCGCGAAATCCATTCCACGCGTTATTCTTCTCCTTCGCACGGGGGAAGATTCGGCGGGACGATCGACATGTAGAGCGGAGAGCCCGTTGTTTTCCTCTTTCGAATTCGAGCGACGGACGCGCATCGAAATGCGCCACTGATTACACGACGCCCGGTGGTAACGAGCGATCCGCGCGGTAATAAATTCTTATTGAACATTCGCGCGTTTGTTTGCAACGCTATACCATTCTCGATTCCCGTAATTAGCGGTAAATTAATATTCGCTGCGAGAGCGCGTACGCGTGATTGAATGTTTCGAAAACCCGCTTAACGCCCATAAACATACACGTACCCTTTACGCCAAATGAGGGGGAGGAGAGGAGAGGAAGCGGGGCTACGGGGACAAGGGGGTGGGAGTACGGGGGGGAGCAATGCTTCGCAAATCGTATCGATCGCGTCATATTTACCGAATGAGTTTTACGAATTACATCCGTGGCACGTTTGATTTGCACGGCATTTCGATACACGTTGACCCCCGTCCTCCCCCCCCCCCCGCCCTTCCTTCCCTATCATCCAACCGACGATAGTCGGTGTCGCTTTTCACCGGTATAAATTTGTACATTGCATATCCGACGTGACACATAAATAAAGAATTATCTCGTCAGTTGCGTTAAACGAGCGATATTACAGCTTTATATGTGCAATATATAGTAGCGACGGTTAAATGGTACCGAGTGTAGTTCGAATTCTTAATTAAATCCCGGTTATCGCGTTTAAATTCTGCGGCAATTTCATTTCATTCTCTGGATTGTGCGTCCGAGAGAAGAAATTTGTCGGTGCGATTGCCGACTTCGAGGTGTAACCCGACGTCGCGGGCTCGGGTAACAATTCCGAGGTGATAAGCGAGCGGACGAGCGGTCCCCGTCCGTCTCGATGGACTTCCGTCCCGATAACGTCGCCTCGATTCGGAGGGTCCGAGGCCGACATAAGAGGTGACACGAAAAGAACGTGGGAAAATCGGTGTCGGGGTATGTAAATCGATCGCGCAAGTCGTGGGTCCTGGAAGCAAAATCTCGGTTTCCGGACTATGGCCGCGTTGACACGTTGACACGTGTAAAAGAAGTTCTCGCGGTATAAGAGAAGAGTGTGTGTGTATGTGTGTGTATGCGCGCGCGCGGTAAGATTGACGCTGAGAGCGTGAAAAAAATCGCCGATTTGAATCTAGCTTACATCGCGTTCGCGATTACGGTTTCGATATTCAGAGGGTGATTTTGTCGGACGCGAAGAGATTTCAACATCAATATCCGTTTATCTTTCCTCTCTATTTTTTTTACGAGTCTCGATAAAATATCTCGATGTCGAGGCGAATGCCTATCGATCCGCATTGACAGTCACGCGGAGAGCGATCCATGATTCCGAGCCCCTCCGAGAATGATTAATTATAACCGCGCGGTATAGCGCGCTGATCCCATTATCGTATCGTAACAGCAAATCTCTGCCAATCGCGGGAATTCCGTAAATCATATTCACGTCAAAGTAATGTCAATGACGTTGATTACGCGGCCGTGATATTTCCGTGAGCGCGAGATTGCGCGCGTACCGATTCGGGGTTAGGGATTGACAAAGTCAAACCGTGGCCGCGCAAGAGTGAAAATGCGCGTACAGAATCGAGCGAGGAAAGGCATAAGATGCCCTATACAGACTGCGACGAGGGGTGAGAGAATGGTGGACCTTCGGTTAAGGAGAGACGAGGGGGAGGCGTCATTCGCCTCCTCCGACGCATTGAGATGCAAATACGCGCCGCCTAACGTGATTTACGAGGAAGGAGCGTGCTCGAGCGAGCGACCGAGGAGCGCTTCCGAGTCCAAATCCGTTCGAGCAGATAAGATCTGTCCGAGCGCAGCCGCCACAATGGACCCAGGGATTTTATAGCGGCAGGTATTCGCGCGCGGCGCGGCGTCGAGGAACGGCCACGTTTTCTCTCGGTCAGCAAGTTCTTCCCCTGGGATCGACGGTAAAAGGGGTCGCGGCTGATCCTGCGAGTTTCTGCGACCCGACAGAGAGAGAAATTCGCGAATTGCGGTTCGTTCTGAATCTTTTGCGGACTCTGCGAGATTAACATCGTTACCTGCGCCGGAATCGATAGTAAAAGTAAATCTCGAATTAATTAAATTAACTTGTTAGCTGTTATTAAGTCTAGTCGGATAAATAAACACAAAAAGGACGATAGCTAGTGGGAGGAAGTTCGAATATCGAGTTCGATTATCACGTCAGCTTCTCCCCAACAATTGGCTCCCATTGTTTATATAGGGAGATACGTTCGCGTGGACATCTCCGTTGACAGTTTTATTCAGAGAGAACCTCCCTTCATCGACAACGTTGCGAATTGAATCGCGCCGGGCCCTTATGTAATTCAGCGCGGCGACGAGCATATCGACGAGCGCGGCGGATCCTTTTCATTCGCGTCCAGGTGAAATCCTTTGTACGAACGAACGGACGTACGGGGGCTACCTCATCGCCGACGCGACGCTGGCGTCACGTGCGTATTGTCACGAGCGCAGCCCCGCGACTACCACTACGGAGCGTATTGACGCGGATTGCAGGCGCAGGTTAAATCGAGCAGACGGCGGCGGCGGCGGCGGCGGCGGCGTCGCGACGCCGGCTGTGCGCGGTCGCGCAACCCTTCGCTGTCCACCTCCCCAACTCCCCCAACGCCGTCCGGAAGCGTCGGCGCGGAGGGATAGAGAGAGAAGGAGAAAGATAAGAGGGAGAGGGCGGGAGAGAGAGCGAGATAGAGGATGGGGGAGCGGGGATGGTGGACTCTGGCGAGAGGGAAAATTTACAAAGAGGACCGCCACCGCCACCGCCGCCGCCGCTGGGAGGAACGAGACTACTTGTTGCGCGTCGCGGCGCCCCCGTGACGCCGTGGTGCTCCCTTCCACCCCTCCCACCCCCGTATCACCGCGTTTCATCGACGACCAACAGCGTCGCTACCGCCGCCATCCCCTTCGACGCCGCCGCCGCCGCCGCCGCCGCCGCCGCTGCCACCACCACCGCCGCCGTCGCCAACGATGCCCCGCGCGATGTCGAGGACAAAAATAGACGCGTCGTCGCAGCGCAACAGATATCACTCGGCTCGAGCTCGAGTAGCTCTCTCGGTTGCTTCGTCGCTCGTTTTGATCACGATAGCGGCGATTGGAAACGGTCGTCATCTGATCGAGAAAAGTCGCTATGTCGAAACTTAGAAGCTCGCGATACGAAATCCATCCACGTTGAGGAAGACAAATATTCCGTTCAGCTTCGCATTAACTTGAGGGAATTTTATCCGCTTTATTAGAGATCAACGGTGTACTTTGTTTATATTCCGTAATGATTGAAAACAGAAAAGATATGGCCCGAATAAACTTTTATAAAACACGATGTACATTTCACGTGCGGTTGTTTACACAGCTTTGGCCATAAGTATAAACCCTCTCCATAAATCGACGTGAACGATCTAACAAAAATAAATTAAAAAACAGTTTTATTGAAAAATAATATCTATTTTCATAACAATTTTAATATTTTGTTCTCCTTTGACTTCTATTATTTTTCTTTCAAAGAAAATGCAATAAATTGAGGGTACTTTATAATTATGGCTTACGCTGTACATCATTACATAAGTACATAGTTAATTTGAGATTGATATAATTAGACAACGCGATTTGTAATACAACGAAAATTTTTTACTTTCAAATACCGAGATACAAAGCGCAAAAATAACTTGGAACACATATGTCGTTCGTTTTTGAAAGAATCGATTTCATATATAAAAAGTTACTTCACTTACCTGTATCTGGTTACCGATGTGCAGCTGCTGCGCTTGATTGATCTGCAAGGTGGAAGTACCGGGTCCGGAAGGAGGTCTCGGCGGCGTGGAGGTCGTGTTGAAGGGTCCCTGCGAACCGGTTTGATTAGGTCCACCTCCTTGCGATCCTCTCGGCGGCAAAGGATAACCCGGGCTACCGTGATTCGGCATCGAACCCGGACTACCATACGGCGAGTATTGTTGCTTGTAACCGCCGCTGGGCCCCAACATGCCGGGCTTGCCGCCCGTTGCAGTCGGCTGGGGCCTCTTCATGTCCGTGAGGCCCGCAGCGAACTGGGTCTGCGAGCTGACGAACATATCGTTGGTCTGTTGACTCTGGAAGGTCGGAGTGCCATTATTCTTGTGGTACGAGCCGGTCCCAGTGGCCGTGGCCTGATTCTGTCCACCGGTCGGCCCGGTGCTGCCGGGACTACCGAGGTAATCGGAAGCGCCGCCGAATTGAGGAAACTCAGCGTAAGGGGATCTCGCGGCGGGGCCGCGCACCGCGGCGGCCGCCGCGGCCGCCGTGGGATTGAATCCGCCCAAGCCCAATTGCTGGCTCTTGTGCTGATGCTGTTCGGCCATCTGCTTGAGCGTCTGCGCCGCTGGGCTCATTTCGGATTTGAAGTCCAGCCCGGAGTAAGTAAGTCGAGCGGGTGAATATTGCGAGGAACCGAGAGCACCCGGGCTCGAGTTAGCCGGCATCGCGTTACCGTTGTTACCGCCGACGTTGTTACCGTTGACGCCGTTGTTCGCGCCGTTGGCATGCTGCTGCTGTTGTTGTTGTTGCTGCTGCTGATGAATCGCGTCCTTGTCATCCTCGATCTTGATCTGCCCGTTATTCGTCGGCATGCCATTATTGTTATTACCGCCATTGTTGTTATTAGCGGCGGCGGCAGCGGCTGCATGGGCAGCCGCTGTCACGGCGTTGTTCGCCAGCGTGTCAACGCTCTTATCCTCGTATCCGAAGTCCTTCATGAAATCCGAATGTAAGTCCGATATCTCGGAGATGAGATCCTTGAACGCGTCCGACGCCATGATCTCGTCGCTGGTGTCGTCGTTCATAAACTCGGAGAAGCCGGGGAAACCGGCGCCGTTCGCCGCGGCGTCCTTTTCGAGCGCCGCGGCGCATTGTTCCAGGTCGACGAACTCGTTGTCGGGTTCCTGTTTACATTCGACTAGGTTACCAATGTCAACGCAACCGATTCCCCCACTGCCCCCAGTGCCACCGGCGCCGCCGCCACCACCTGCGCCGGGCACGCCAGGACCTCCGGGGCCGCTGCCGTTTCCAGGCTGCGGTCTGGACGCGGCCGATGCGGACGTGTCCGTACCGGGCTTCGGCGAGGATGACGCGTTTAAGAGATCGCTCTTCACCGACGCATTCGTCAGCGCTTTTACCGTTACGTTCGTAGAGATTGCTTGCGCCTGCGAGTTATTCGCCGCCGACGTCGTGAACTCCAGTTGCTGGACGATCTGAACCTGAAACTTGGTGAGGCCTTCGTTCCCGTCACTACCGCCGCCGCCGCCGCCACCGCCACCGGGCGCCGGACCCGTCGAGTTCGCGCCGTTCCCCGGTTGGTGCTGGCCGTGGCCGTGATGCGGCCCGCCGCCACCACCGCCGCCCGGACCCTGCTGATGCTGATGCTGCCCCTGCGTGCATTGCAGCTTGACCGGCGGTTCGCCGAAACCGCCATCGCCACTAGCACCCCCGGCTGGCTCCAACTCCTCGGTCGTCCTCTTGAGGAATTTCGGTTGCTGAAACAGGAAGAAGGAGAGAATCGTAAATTGTCGGTGAAAAACCTCCCGAAAAAAAAAACAATCAACATTAACATAATCTGCCAGCAATAACAATTCTTAAGAGCTATATATATTCGCTGTGCCATTATCTCAATCCTATCAATATTCCATAATTTTTATTATTTTACCTATCAATAGCTTCAGCCGGTAGTATTGATCTACCTTTCGATCAGGTCGGAGTGATCTTTTAAAAGACTACCGCTTTTTTCCGCCGCTCTGTTGCTTGACGACCGAACCGCGAGCGATTCGAGGTATTTAACTCGTCGCTTCGGTGTCGCCGAGCTCGATTCCATCCAGCTTTTTCTGTGATTAACCCAAGCAGTTTCTCACCGTGTCTGTCAATACCCGCGACGCTTTTTCAGCCGCTGTCTTTATACGGATCCGCCGACGGAAGGGCCGCCCGCGGAGGGGCCGTTTTGTTTCGCGAAGCGCCCGGATCCTGGGCCGCGGCTCGTAAATCTCGAGCAAATCGTCTATACCGAGTCAAAAGAGTCGACGGCACGTGACTCCATGCGCACGATGAATCCAAATATTCATACATCGAAAATGCACACTATTTACTCTTTTATTTATATTACCATATTAAGTCTCAATAACGCTTTACGCTTAAAACTCATCGTGTTTTATCAGCGTCGAACAAAAACTGATAATTTTCACAACTGATTACTATAGAAGACACGGTTAAAATAATTATTAATTACGTAATCATTGCAAGATTGATTATTAGTTAATTAATAAATAGTAATCATATAACACAAAACATTATGCGTTGTCTTTACATTGGCGCTAGTACAATATGTTAATATACATTAATTCACATTGAATTAATTATAATTAAAAATGTAATAATTTTCTAATAAAAGGTTGCTGAAACTTATCGATAACAAAGACTTGATATCGATAAGAATAATTAACTATTTTTATTATTAATTATTAATTATTTAATAATGATTATTATCAATATTGTAGCATTTTATTTTAAATTTCGTTTCATATAATAATTTATGAAAGCTGGACAAATATTTTCCGCAAAATTATTAATAATATTTAACAGACTATATTAGCCTAATAAATCTTGGATAAATTTCGGTAATACGCAACCGCAATATCGCAAATGATTTCTAATGGAAGTATCTCGAATAATCAAAATATGGCAGAAAAAAATTCGAGACAATTATCACCGGATTTCAAAGACGAATTCGCTTAGGGGGGCCGCACGAGCTATCCTCTCGCCGGCGGGGATTTCTGCGAGAGCTTCAAGTCGACGACCCTGTTTTCGACCGGGTAAACAAATTCACGGTAGCGGCGCCGGTAAGAGGAGGAGCAGGAGGAGGAGGAGGAGGAGAGGGAGAAAGAAGGAATTGGAAAAAGTTTTTCCAGGGTGCGGTCGCGAGAAACGCTTCTCCACCGATGTATATACACACATGTATACGTGTACGCACGAGCGCACGGTTGCGCGCGCGTCGGTGTGTATCTATACATTTGTCATGATTTGAACCGGGATAACCCTCCCCGGTTTCATCCCAAAATCGATAATACGTATTACCCTCTAATAGAGAATCGGGCGCTCTACGCGAGTCTCTCTCCCCCTGCGTTCTCCACCGCGCCCCCTGCTGCTCGCCTCGCCATCCCTCCGGTTCCACCTGGCCCGAGAGAGAGAGAGAGGGGGGGGGGAGATAGCTCGAATAATCTTGCGTCTTTCGCAGATGTAATACGATATTCCGTCAGCCTTCTCTATCCGCAGCAGCATCTTCCCGCCAATCGCGTGCCTGCCGCCACTCGCCATCCTAAAGGTAAATGGCGTTTCTTCTTAGGTCCCCGGCAACCGTGGGCCGTCCTCCCCTTTTACGTTTCGCGAAACGAAGTATATTATAGTGGGCATAAAGGGAAATGAATTCTCCCATCGCAACCGTCATTGACGACGAATGTAAGACTCTCTCAGAGTACGATATCAAGAAGAATCTCGCAGATACGCCGCGAGAGCGCCAGATCGATCGCGGATTTACCATCATTTTTGCGTTTAAAAGTCCATCAAAGTGTTCTTTAAGATTAATGATTATAGCTATTGATCCAAAGTACAGGTTCATTTAACCTAGAAATAGTCAGGATAAACGTGAGGATGATTTTTACATCTCAGTGAACGAGAAAATAAAGTCAATTATTGTCAATCACAGTATGTGATTGAGAATCACATCTATTTAATTTTTTTATAATTGCTTTTTTTAGAAAACATTGAATAAACCTATATATAGCCTTGGCCACAAAATACCCTTAATTTATTATATTTTCTTGGAAAAGATAATAAAAACCAAAGAGGGACTAATAAAATAACGTGGTCAAAAGAACGTTTTAAGTATTAAAACTGTTAAAAATAACTATTATTTTTTCTATAAAACTTTTTTAATTTATTTTTCATTAGATATAGTATAGAACGTTCCTACATCAATTTGTGGAGATGCTTCATACCTATGTGGTCAAGGTTATACGTAATGATAAATACTCAAATACTAATAAATTATATATCAATAACATGCAATATAATTAATATGACTTTTAATTGGAGTATAAAAAATTTCCCAGATGATCGCAAAAAAAAAACTATGTCACTATGCCGGAATTCCTTTTGCGTATTTTTGCTCTTTTCTAATGCAGGTTCCTTTTTAAGTTTAACCTCAGCACGAATGTCGTCTAAGTGTCACGCCGAGCATTAATCTTTTACGCGCGCCCGATCATATAACGTTATATCGGGGGGCACGTAAAAGGCACGCATGCAAGTCGCAACGGATGCGAGGCGATGGAAAAAGGCTTCTCGGTTAGAGAAAGATCCCCGCGCGGCGCTATCGCGAAGCAATTTCATAGGACGAAAGTCGTATGTGTGTGTGTGTGTGTGTGTATCGAGGGGGTTGGCAGATAACGGCGTGGCCCGCGCGCCCCCGTTCGCGTCAATATTGCACTCCACTCGCTCTTTCCTCTGTCTCCTTCCACGCAAGCCGCTCCGAGGTAAAAAATGAATAAATGAAAACAAGAAAGACTTTAAACTACTCCCGCTTCCGCGCCGTCCTTCTCCGCCGAACTAATTACTGTCTCTCTGACAGTCGCGCTATTTGCAGCCGTGCGAAAATACGAGACCTTTTTTCCTTCCGATTCGACGCTGGTCAAAGGTTTTATTAGCAAATTAAAACGCTGCGCCGTCTGTGTCAAAAATGTACGTTAATGCGATAATGATAAACAGTACGTTTCCGCTCGTGGTAGCGTAAAATGGCAAAATTGCGCGATCTACTTTATACAGTAATCACGCATGACATTTCCAGCTGCAACGCAAGGGAGGTAAACCATCGATCGCGAAGGAAATTTGTTTTTGAATTCGAGGATCTATTATCGCGTCTTGATTAAGATACGAGTATAAATACGAGCAATGTGCACACTTTTTTGATCGGACAAAGAGAGAAAATCTTAATGCATCCGTACACATTTTTAAATTTATTTTAATGTAAACGTAAATATGTCTCTATAACCTCGACACTTGTCATTCTGCGTAACATTATTATTATGCTTCTTAACTCGATATGTATGTTATACGTTAATCGGCGGTGTATGAAATCTTCGTCGTCAAGCGCGATATAACGCGCGTTCGTAGACAGCCTTATCTCGTGATTTCAATATATCTTATCTGGTTTCGCGAAGATAAATCGAGCGTCACCTGAGTAATTTCGTAAAGCGCGAATCTGTTGTCGAATAACAATAATAATAATAATTTCAGACATTTATTTCGGCTTGTTTGTGTTTGCCCCTTCTCTTCGTTTGCTACCAATAAATCGCTATCAATAAATTTTCGCGCAATCAATTGATCATTCGGCGATTAGAAAGTAATACGCAAACACGAGAATCGGGAGAGAGGAGCGAGTAGATCGTCAAGGGAGAAAACTAACTGCCTCGGGGTGAGAGCACCCGCGTGCGGCGTCACGATGCATGTGCTTCGCGGCGAACTGATCTCATCTACCCCCATCCTTTATCACTTCCCAAAGCGAAATCGGCTAACGACCAGACTACACCGCGTAGAGTTGGCCGTGCTCAACCGGGACCGAGTTATGCCACTTCGTCCGGAAGCAATAATCCGCAAATTTGTGTGCGCGCGCGCGAAGAGCGAATGTTGCTTGGATACAGAGAACCGTGTACTTGTGCCGTTAGGACTAAAATACCGTATCGCCACCGAGCGGTTTACTTCGGCCGCGTCGTAATCCACCGCACCGCTCATTAAACCCGCCGAGATGTGCAGCCGGGTGCGGTCGGCACGGTGGAATCTGATTTTTGGACGCGATATATACATAATTAATCACGCGCAGCTCGAAATTCGACGAGACAAACGTGTAGCCCTCGTCAAGATAAGTACGGCATGCCGTCACGTCCAGATTCCATGCCGTCACGTTTGCATAACGTGGATAATCGTGGGAATGCGGTCACGAATGAATCCGCGGAAAGGGGCAGCTAGGATACCTCATTAACTCTCGCCCGTACACACCGTTCCCCCGTCAATTCCTGATGAAAGCTCGTTCCTGAGCAGCCGTGTGTGCATGCACGTGCAGCTCCCGTCGCCCGAGACGCTCTTTCCTCGCGAGAGATCGGTGATCGCGCGGAAACGTCACGTGTCGCACGATCGACGGCCAGAATCAACTTAGGGCACGCGAAGGCCGTCTTAATTCATGAAACCGACGTTCACACTGTCCAATACGGAAGACGGATAGCTCCCCTCTTTAACGTCGCTCGTTCTGTACGTAATATAAGCGGCACGTTGCGCCACTGATTAAGTTGCGAATGAGTCAGACGTCTGGAATTGGCATCTTGGATTCGTGTCACGTTATTGTCATTGTATCCCGCGATTTCTTTTCGATTGTTTTCATCCCGTCTTTTTATTAATCGCGCCGACCACAGGTCCAAGGGGCCTAATTTACAGTACACGA